CGACATTAAGTTAGATTTCCCCGGTCACAGCCAATATGAACTAGATATTCCAAGCGCAGTGTGAACAGAGGAATGATTAAGTTCGTGAACTTTGCGTGTTTCCACGGTCTGTGGAAGAGACGACCTCAACATCTTTACGAAACGGGCGTTGTCAGCAACGAAGCGATAGGAGGACAGATACCACTCACAAAAAAGGTCGAGAGCTGCCTCAAGGAGGCAGTCAATCAGTCCACACCGCCCCACAGATTGCTGCACAAAGACCAGGTCAGCAACGAGGACAGAGGGCATCGAATATTATCCCTGAATCAATGGCCATGGAAACGCTGACCTGCAGCTGAGGAAGCTCGTAAGAAGGAGCGTAAGGCCGTGGAACCCCTGCCTGGGCATACAAGATTCGGTGTAGGGGATATTCGTGGTACCTATGCTAGAAATTGACATTTTCCCCCAGGTTATTTGCATCCCACCAACCAGACCTTTTCATTTTCATGTGGTTCGTATTCTATGCACCAATGTAAATTGACAGTAGAATGACAGCCTACAGTGTAGTGGTTCGGCTAATTATGAAGCTTGGGCATGAATGAGCAGTGAGCGCTTGAGCGCCAGTGAGCCGTTGGCGGCTAGCATGTGCACTTGCGAGCGCCGAGCGCCGAGCGCTGAGCGCTGAGGCCTCACTGGCAGGAGGCCCAGTGTGCGTTTACACACTATGTCGCGCTTCCTTGCACCGATTCTCCTCTTCGTCGTCGTCGTCCCCTTGCACTATATTGTGCAGTGCAGTAGAGTGCGGTTTCTTTCTCTTGAATAGTTTGACAGCGTGAAGATGTCAGAGGCGTTACTTACCAGCCTTCTGTATTAATATTGCGGTACGTTCTACCCGCCACTGTGCTATTCACAACCAACTGTGTGTTCACGCTTGAACCCCAACGTTCGATCGGTGGGCAGGTGGAGAGTGGCAGTCGTCGGGTGTGCGTGTTCCAGTGATGAAAGGTGCATTATCACTGAATCCAACCAATCCAAAACACCGCTTACCTCCATTCTCACCACCTGTCATTAAGTTGATGCTGAGCAAAAGAGGATATACCAACATCGTCACACTCCCCGAAAGGAGAAGAGGAAGATCTACAACCGATCTACGACACAGTGTCGTAGATCAGGCTGGCGGAGTTCCCATGGCTGTGGGTAGTAGCAGCTGCTAATGTTTCCATATTTGGAAACATTAGCAGCTGCTACCAAATAATTCCGAGAATGGAAACATTAGCAACTGCTATGATTTCTGTATTCGGATGCTGCCATGTATGGTATATAGTTCCCACGCCCCTGTCTTGTCCTGTACTTTGAATTTTCGACATTTTTAACATCTTCCCCTCCCACAACATTGTGTGCAGCATCATTTCCTGTGATAATCAAAAATATCATTTATCAACTGTAATTTCAGCTTGGGGAACATCTAAAGTAACTGCACACATGTAATCTGGCAGAGACTAGATCTCAATGCAAAGGAGTTAAAGCTCTCAAATTCAAACCCTGAGCTTCACAAGCATATTGCAATAAACTCTACCAGTGGCCCAGCCCTCATCATCAGGAAAGCAACTAATTACCAGCCATTACACTGATCAAAACCAAGCAATGCTCTATAATATGCCTTTTCTACCTGAAAATATTTCAGTTGCAGGACCAAGTGTATTGCCTGGTGAGAATAATAACTCAGGGTAGACACACATGCTGGATACCCAACAGAAAAATAAAAAATCTACACAGGATTAGTAACACCTGATCCACTTGCCAAAATCAAAATTTTGAAAGCAATCATGTGCCTTCAGATGAGATCTTTTTTTTATGGTATACCAGAGATGTTACATTTCTCTAGAGTGTAATGTGTTACAAGTGTACTAATATCATCTTTAAAAATGAGTGGGAAATTTGAGCTAAAGTGTCACAGATATAAAACTATTACAATCCACAGATAAATTGTATATATCCATTTAAGTTCTTTGAAATCAAACCAGATGAAGGTCAACCTATTGAGAAATTCTAATTTCAAAATTTATCTCTGAATCCTCTGTGACAGTCCATAGTATAAAATATGCAGCAAGGAAATGTTGGAAGTGTGAAAAAAAAGGATGTGGAGGTTGAATTAACAAGGATCAGTGCACAAATTCCTGTGGTTCATGTGGTTCAAAACAATATGAAGGAAAGGATAGCAGACACCCCTTTTATTCTTGTGAATTTCTTTTGAGGGTTGAGAATGCTACCAAATCTATGTACATACTTTGATTCTTCGCCATCAGAAGTATCATGAAAAGGTGGTATAACAATTAATGTCATGCTCACATGTTGGTGGCCACTGTAAGTGTGGTAATTTTCTGGAATTTTTACCAAGAGAAAGGTTACTATAAGTCAGGAAATCCCTCCTTTTTCTCTTTTTCTCTTTCCTTTTTGGGAATTTTTCTCTCTTTCCTTTTATACTCCCACAACCATGATAACCGGGCCATCAGGCTCAGCTGCGACACACTCCACACACGTGATGATGGGCCGTGCAACCTCACGCGTCACCCATCACATGTCACACTTTCCTCCTCAGCGCACCCTATCTCAGCATGAACGACAATGGCGCAGAACGTCAAGGGAAAGGGATACACCCAGGTGAGTACCCCTGCCAGCTCATCCAGCTAATTGACTACCACATCAGGTCAGTGAGCGCCACCCAGGACCGTGAACGCCATGAAAATGGCCTTGACACATCGCCCAACGCCGTGAGTACCGACCACCTATCCGTCGACGGACAACAGACGCGAACATGAACGCAAACGGACGCCGAAAACTGCGAAAATCATCCCGAACACCAAAACGTCGGCTAAGATAACCCCTGCGAATGTGGGCAGCCTACCTCACCTCGAACCTTGCCCCTCCCCTTGTCGTTGTCGAGGGATGTGGGTGTACAGAAAACCTCGAAGCAGGAACAGCCAACGCGAAGACTGCCCGCAGCTCCACCATCGACCCACGATACGAGAACATCGACGGCTAGACACATGAACAAACCAGCTCACCACAAACGACAGGGCAACCACAGATGGCGAGGATCGGGCGGGAACCCAGTAGCATAGGCGTCCAGGATGTAAGTAGGGTATCCAATCATTCTCGAGGAGGAGTGGCTACGTCCTCCATCATCACGGCTTTTATAATGTATATACGAGTGTCCTTTTCTGTATCATAATATAAATTTTACACTGCTAATTCCATGAGTACAAAAAGCGTTCGAAAAAAGAGAACTTAGTAAATAGTAAAAATACTCCTGTAAAGCTCTTTCTAACTTAGAATAAATTTTGTACCAGAAGGTCCACATCTAGGTGTCTCGCATGTATAATTGTTGACACATTACACATGAATCAGCGACACATTACACATGAATTAGCGACGCACTACACTCAAATATGTCGTTTATTTACGCAATGTGTCGCTTACTTTTGCAATGTGCCGCTGTCCCGATTTGGGGAGTGTGACGATGTTGGTACACCCTGGAGCAAAACGGTGGATGTGGCGACCTACGTGGACCCCAAAGCTCTCCCGTAGACTTCGACTCATCCGCTGTGGCGCGCATGTAGGAAGGTCTTCGTCGATTGTCTATGTTAGTCTTTGCCTCACGGAGAAGGTATCCATCTTCCGTACATTGGATCCCGGTATTTCGGCACACCATTGCTGGTTTCGATGAGAGTGTTTCGATGAACGACCGTAGAGGTACAGTATTCGCGACAGATTTGCGTAGACGACCATGAACATCAAGGCTGAGAGACACTGCAAGTGCCAGGCTTCTTCGTGTTTTAGTGTACATCGAAGGTCTTGCAGGACATGGAGCGACTTTCTATTCGGCGGACTTAGTTTGTTCTTGGCCACGGACAGAAACAAGACAGGTCAACGTTGAAACATTCAAGATGAAGAAACAAAGGAAATGAGGCAAATGGTACTTGAAGGCGAGATAACGGTGTGGTCAAAAGTGCGCAAGGCAGGTCACGTAGAGGAACAGAGCGGTGATACAGTAAGTGAAGAAGGAAAAGAGTAGATACATGGAAAGTAGAAGTTCAATTAGTAAATTGAAAATGAATAACGAACAGTGGAGGATGATATCGGCGAAAAGGTCAAACACGAAAAGGTCAAACATAAAGTCGCAGGCATCCATAAAGGCCACCAAAACGAAAATGCTGATCAAGACCAAAAAAGCAGACATGAGGTTGCGTGATAAAGAGCCGTGAAGTAAAACCACTTGGGGGGTAGCAACTGGGTAATCCTGCCATGTCAGTTAGTCGCATTCAGTATGGAAAGAAAAACGACTCGCATCATTGACTGCTTCCCCTGTGGATTGAATGTCGAGGCTTTGAACTGCTGCAATGAGCGCCAAGAGATCATCCTGCTCAAGGATTACGACGAGAATGAGAAAAGAGTGGACGGCGCGCCGCTGACTGCGTTCTCCAGGGTGAGGAAAAACGAAGTTCAGTAACAGAATATAGACGATGTAAGTTCCTGTAGGCTCAACAGCGAGCGGTTAATTGATACCAAACAGAAAAACGAAAGCACGGAACGTACGAGGGTTGTCATGAACAAAGGGGACAGTCACTTCATTGGTTTGCCACTGGTTGTTCGGGCGACTGTGAGGATATTGTGGGGTGGACATCCTAGATGGTGGGATGGTGTAATTGTGCCCATGACCGATGTATTTGTAGTGCCTAACACAAAGAGAAAACGAGTTTGTCAAGGAACGAAGGTTGTGTTGAAAGGCATCGATTTATGGTGTTGCTTGGCCGTGTTATGATCACCAAAATTATTCAGCAATTCTAGTTGATATTTAATAGTTAACATTACTTATCAGATGTTAACGTTGGACATGTCAACGTTGACATTAACTCGGGAGCTTCAAAACTTGAAAGTATGTATCATCGATCATCGATCATCGACATCCATAATCCATAATCCTTTCGGCCAAACGCTGCCGATCACCGTTTTCCCTCGTTTTCCTCTCGAAATTTGCAGGCCACCTCATGCATAATGCATGGGGGTTACTCCTTCGCGATTGCTTTCACTAAATCAACCAAACTCCTCTTTGTTAAATGGGTCGGATTCCAGTCATGCGCTTGCATAATATGACGTCAGTTTTTCCTTTCATCTAGGGAGTACACGCTTTCGAGTTCTTTCTTGACCTGATCAGGGATCTTTGTTTCTCAAATGCTCTTTGTTTCTCTGTACTATATCTTGGGGGATCATGACTTGGCCATTCTTTTCGCTTTCCCCCAACCCACGGATCGCCGCATCATGCATCCCGGCTTTTGTCCCATATGCTGCAACATATTTGAACAGGTCGACTGCGTTCCATGTCGCATTACCTGTGGTAAGCAATTTCGTGCCTCCTGATCTATCTTTTTTCAAATGTTTCTTTCGTTCTCAAGGACATGTAGCATGTCAAAGGTGCTGCGACAGGCTCGTGAAAAGCAGGCAGTGTTGTCCTTTTCGCTGCGACCCGGCCATCCTTAGGTCCCGGCACATCAGGCCCATGGCTATGTCTCTTGTGAGCGCTGGTGGATCACCCGGTGGGGATCTTGTTAAGTCGTATGTTTTCATCCGCCGTTGACTTGCTGATTCCTACACTTGCTCCAGCAAAATTACAACCGCTTGGTCCACCATCCGGCAGGAGGAGCTCAAGTACAATCAAGTGGTCTCCACATTGCATGCACTCCGCGTCGATATATTTGCTCAACGGGGTGCGCTGCAGATGCGGGCACATAGGATGAGAGATGCACTTGCAGGGAGATACGATCTACTTCGTCAGCTCGGTCGGGCCCGCAAGGAGCTGGAGGCTGAGATGGTCACAGAAGGGTGTTTACGCGACGAACTTACACTGCTGAAGCGTAACGTTCGCCTCCTAATTGTCAACTTTCTTTGGCGATTTCTGATATTGTTTGAATTTTCTTTCAGAGACGCGAGATAGCGAGTCGATCAATGATACCCCTGCCCTCTGTTGCGCCCTGTGCGCCGTCCCCCGTCTCCCAAAATGAAGCTGACACCTCGTTTATAGGTATATCGGCAGCGCAAGGAAGAAAGCGCCGCCGTGATGCCAGGGAGGACGATGCAGAGGCGGCTGCTTATGAAGCTCGAGGACGGCGAGTACGTTGTTCTCCTTTACCACCTACTAAGGATGTTATGTGAACACTTTTGCAGAGGAAGGATTGTCCAATTGCAACCCGAAAATAAAACTTTTATAATGCCGTATACTTGCTAATATCAGTGTCGTGAGTCTGCCATCCATCCGCTATCAATACCGTGGATGAACCTGCGAGGGCTAAATTGAATCCGTTAGTTGTCTTACGAAAGCGCTCACCCATCTCCCCCTGCACCTTAGAAATTATGATTTTTCGCTTCGCATTTTTTCTCCAATTGTGACATGTGCATAGTTATGATACTCTCATCCGGCGCTGCTCCTGATTATGCTCCTACTCATGTAACCACTGATCCGTTCCTAAGAGGATACATGTTTGAGCCCGTAGCACTTTTATCAATAGTTCACAATAGCAGATCAAGTGTGAACTTCTTCAAGGGGAGGCATTGAGGGATCATCATCCTACCCATGGCCATCCATCAACACTAGAGACATTGCCACGATAACGGTATCACCCACCTCAACTGCAGAGACTTCCAAGGTGCTTTTGAAGACACCTTTACCAAGATGATTCATGATCATCAGAGTGTAAATGTGCTGCATGGTGTCGATGACAGGGAACGGGGGAACGGGAAGAACATGCGCAGGAGCGGCAGGCGAACGGCAGCCTTTGGAGGGATTCATTGGACTCTCGAAAAAGATGTGTTTAATACTACAGAAAAGGGAATCTACGATTGGAATAAAACTTACATTGAAAGAGGTTTATGGAAGATCAGGTATGTGAGGGCGTAAGTAATAATCAATCTCGGCTCCATCTGATGTTTAGTCGTGTTTATTTTCGAAGCCACATCGGTAATTGAGCAAATCAGTTTCCACGGGTTTCTCAACCCTGGCAACCTCCGAAAACCACTAGTAAAAACTTCGAAACATTGAAAAGTATCAAAACTTGGCAACCTATGTATCCTTTGGTGGAAACCCGCAGTGCCCAAATACTTAGTGTTTCAATTGAAGATATACTATGACCTACCAGCACCTCGGCACACCCTACGAGTCGGCAGTCACTGATTGTCACATATTTTGGCTGGACAAGCATGACTCTCGTTTTCCAAGTTGTCACGCAACATCACACTTGTCCAGCCAAAATTCGTGACGATCAGTGACCGCCGACTTGTAGGGTGTGCCGAGGTGCTGGTAGGGCATAGTATTTTCACTTGATTTTCACATCTTTGCCAAATTTTTGCTTGACAGGTGCCAGATGGAGTGGGCGCAAAACGCTGCAACCAGGGGCATCGTAAAATGATCAACCGCCAAATGCCATAAATAACTTAAATGGGTCAGCCCTTCCATTAAGGTTCACTGGTGGCCGACACACACCCCAATACCCCTTCTGTTAAGCTTTGCCAGAGCTAGCTGCCATAAATAACTTAAACGAATCGAGGTTTGAGTTATCATGTCAGCAGCTCCCATACAATCAATGAACTCAAGAAAAAACCTTTCATCATTATGGGTATCTTGTCAGCAGGTCCCGTACAATCAATGAACTCAAGAAGGAACCTTTCATCATTATAGGTATCTTGTCACTCAATTGAAGATATATTTTCACATTTTTGCTTGACAGGTGCCAGATGAAGTGGGTGTGAAACACTGCAACCAATAACATCATAAAATGCTCAACTGCCAAATGCCATAAATAACTTAAATGGATCGGCCCTTCTGTTAAGGTTCACCAGAGGCCGATGCACTTCCAAGCACATTTGTTGATGAATTGAGCACAAACCACCAAGGGATCAGCCCTTTGGTTAAGCTTTGCCGATGCCCGACACACACCCCAATTTGCTGATGAATCAGGCACAAACCGCCAAACACCATAAATAACTTAAAGGAATCAGCCCTTCTGTTAAGGTTTGCTGGAGGCCAACACACATCCTAGCTAGTGTTTAAAGGTTCAGTCCATAGGACCGCAAAAAACCGGTGGACCGAACTGAACCGGACCATGGTCCGGTCTTTTTTTCGGTTGCAGTTGCCCCAATTTGGGGTTGGTCCAGTTGCCGGTTGCCTCATTTCAAAAATCTTTTAAAACCATTCAAAGACTGGTTTTAATTGGTTGCAACCAGTTAAACGGTCACGTGCGTTACATAGCCTTGTAACCACGTTTATTGCCTTTTATTGGGTTTTTGTTTCATCAAAAATGGTTAAGAATTGAGAAAGATATAACCAAATCCATATTTTACCCGAGTTTCTAGGAGATGTAATTTAATTTCAGTCATAGCTATGTTAAATTTTCATTAAATCTCTTGAAAATTGGTAGAATGACGGGTATTTATATGCTTTACTATTTTATATAACCTGTTTATTTTTCAGAGTAATAATGGTTGAGATACAAATGGTTTATATTGATATAATAAATTATACACAAAAAAACCGGTCTGGATCGGTCTGAACCGGTATCATGGACTGCAAAAGACCGGTCCTAGGTGGTTCGGTTCGGTTCCCTCAATATCTGGGTCAGTCCTGGACCGGTTGCGGTCCACGGTTGCGCGTTTTCGGGGCAAAAAACTGGACTGAACTGAACCTTTAAACACTAATCCTAGCACGTTTGTTGATGAATTGAGCGCAAACCACCAAGGGATCAGCCCCAGTCAAAAATGACTCGGGTTATTCCGAGGTAGATCTGATTGCTTAGAATTGAAGCGATGTAAGGTGTCGTTTTATCGACAGAATTCTATATAAATAGATTTGAGTTCGATCCAGTTCGATATTACACGATGTAAGCCATGTACGCAGTGTGGTTTTTAGTGTGGGTCAGCCTTGCAAATCGCCTGAAATATATCTAACTCGATTGATGCTCACACAAGCCAAGCAAATCGACCATAGTCACTGTGACTCGGCCTGATTGGAGTTGATTTTCACTGGGGATCAGCCCTTTGGTTAAGCTTCACTGACACCTGGCACACACCCCAATACCTTCGCTGATGAATCAAGTGCAAACCAAACACTATAAATAATTTAAAGGGATCAGCCCTTCCGTTAAGCTTCACTGGAGCTAGATGCCATAAATAACTTACATGAATCCAGGTTTGAGTCATCATCATGTCAGCAGCTCCCGTACAATGAATGAACTCAAGAAGGAACCTTTCATCATTATGGGTATGTTGTCACTCAATCCAAGATATATTTCTGACACTTTTGCTTGTCAGGGGACAGATGAAGTGGGCAGTGGGCACAAAACGCTGCAACCAGGGACATCATACAATGCTTAACCGCCAGATGCCGTAAATAACTTAAATTGATTGGCCTGTCCGTTAAGGTTCCCCGAAGCCCAATGCACACCCCAACACCTTTGCTGATGAAGTGGGTGCAATACACTGCAACAAGAGACATGGTAAAGTTCTCAATGGCGAAACACCATAAATAACTTAAATGAATCAGCATTTCTGTTAGGCGGTCCAGGTGTCCATTGCCGGAGTCTGAGACACACCTCAACATCTTGCTGATAAAAATGTCAACTGCTAAACACGATAAATAACTTGAACGAATCAGCCCTTCCATCGCCCATGGCTGTAGGTCCATGCCATACAAACTGGAATAATCCACCTCATTGGTTTCCGTAGCTGGTGGATTTTTCCAAGCCTTCCCCCTGTGGATTAATCCACTCACCTTTGTAGCAATGACTTCAGAGGGGTATGTCTGATGGGAAACAATATATTGGAGATGTAGGAGGTATATAAGTCTTGATGTTTCATTTATTCTGCCTTTATATCTGTCATTCCAGCCTTCAATGCTAACAAATGTATATTTGAGCATAGATCTGGTGATGTCTCCCCTCTCTACAGTCTGTTTCATTAGAAAAAAACACCGCAAAACCTTCCAAATATATGCTCAATTATATTTACACTGCTTCAAATGTGCGAGGAGGTGAGGAGCGAAGCTCCGAGCTGACGAGCAAGGCGTTCTAGAGACTTTGGACGATTATGGCCGCGACGTAGACCAACGTTTCGTCTGTTAAAGAGACTCATCAGGCGGCGGGGTAGTCTTTTACCACCAAGAAGAACATTACGTAACTATCCCAGAATCACGGGATCACGTGTGTGCGCCCTCAGAGTTGCGGAATCCGCGATGGAACTCGACGCGTTTAGTTCACTCTCAAGGCCCTTTTGATTTCTAACCCCTCAATGGTAGAGTACTAGATTGTCTACCATTGCTTGTAGGTTGTTAGAGTGATAGGAAACTGAAATTTATCTTCATTCAATTTATTCTTTGGGTGACTCTGCTGCAGGCAGCTGAAAGGTGATTTAAAAGTCACGTATCACCGGTATCAAATGCATAGAATGAAGTGGAATAAAATTTCCGTCTCTCAAAAGGGAATGACTGATGGTGAAACCGGATTTTTATTATCAAAAATTGAATTTTTTACACCTACTCTCGAACCAGCTGCCGGCGGTCCCATACTACTCTATTATGGTCGCTTCATTGATGACACCTTTGCCATCATTGAAGGAAACCTAGAGGATGTGCAAAAATTCCAAAAGCGTTTCGGGGAACTACACCCCAATATGAAGATGGAATGGACCCAATCACGGTACAAACTGCCGTTTCTGGATGTCAGCGTCTCCCTGGAGGTTGCTCCTGGAGTACTATACCAGTCTACCAAGCCTGCTATAGTAACGCGCGTCTTCCAGAAGGCCCTGAATGCCTATCTTTATATTCCCTGGAAATCTTGCCACTCTGACGCATCCAAAAGGTCTTGGGTGAAAGGCGAACTCATTCGCTATGTCAGACTATCTTCTCAAGAAGAGGACTTCAAAAAGATAGTCAAGATGTTCTCATCTCGTTTACGAGCTCGAGGATACCCGGGGAGATGGCTTCGGTCAGTCTTTTCAGGTGTGTCATATGCCGACGAGCGCCCAAAAGCACTCACCCCTCGTACTCCTATACCTGAATGGGAGAACAAGGGCCGGCTATATGTCCTGAAACTCATTCACAATCCACTGTGGGACTCTGTAGAATTCGGTCCCATATGGAAAACTCTGCGTGATGCTTGGGAGGAAACTGGGCTTGGAAAACCCGATGACCGCTTCCTTGCATCCTTTAAAAAACCAGAGGCTTTGAATGACCGATTGAATAAAATCAACCGTGAGACGATCGAGGCTTACCAAGCTGAACAAGCAATGACCGTTTGAACCCGTTTTTTTACACCTACTCTCGAACCAGCTGCCGGCGGTCCCTACGGGACCACCGTATGCAGCTGCTCCTTCGAGTAGATGTAAAAAATTCAATTTTTGATAATAAAAATCCGGTTTCACCATCAGTCATTCCCTTTTGAGAGACGGAAATTTTATTCCACTTCATTCTATGCATTTGATACCGGTGATACGTGACTTTTAAATCACCTTTCAGCTGCCTGCAGCAGAGTCACCCAAAGAATAAATTGAATGAAGATAAATTTCAGTTTCCTATCACTCTAACAACCTACAAGCAATGGTAGACAATCTAGTACTCTACCATTGAGGGGTTAGAAATCAAAAGGGCCTCGAGAGTGAACTAAACGCGTCGAGTTCCATCGCGGATTCCGCAACTCTGAGGGCGCACACACGTGATCCCGTGATTCTGGGATAGTTACGTAATGTTCTTCTTGGTGGTAAAAGACTACCCCGCCGCCTGATGAGTCTCTTTAACAGACGAAACGTTGGTCTACGTCGCGGCCATAATCGTCCAAAGTCTCTAGAACGCCTTGCTCGTCAGCTCGGAGCTTCGCTCCTCACCTCCTCGCTGGTTTGTGACTGACGAGCGTCACTTCGGCGTCGTTCCCACAGGTCATGTGAGGTATGACCATTTCGAGAATTAAAGTTTTCGGTGGAATCTCAAAAGTGCCTCCCTTTACCTCTCTTCCAACTCCAAAAACGAACTTTACAGGCGCTCCGCGTGGCGGGGCTGTTCCTCCGATCGTCTCATGAAATATGAAGCCCATTCCATTGAACTCTCTCGGGTCTATTGCATTTTTTTTGCAGCGTCATTCCTGACTGGTGATTACCTGCCTGCTACATGATATACGATGCCGTCTCACTTTTAGGTCTTCAGATGAACTTATCACTATTAGGGTCACTTTATATTATACCTCAACATCTAACCAATTACCCTTGCGTCGTCACTCAATCAGATCAACCTGCCGGTGCCTGAGATGTCGTGAAACAATACCACGAGAACTAACACGAGGTCTTGTCTGGTCTTGTTCAGGCTTTGTCATTTGCTTACCACTGACGATTGACTGGTGACTGCTAACCATGTGGTTAGTTTTAACTAGCTTCAGTGAGCATGACTATCGGCCGTCGTCGAACATCCACCTCTTGACAGAGGCTTGGCCGGCGATGGAACGTAACGTCTTTGCAAAACTAATAAGGATAATCTCCTCAAGTGCCCACACGCCTCTTTGTCGCATACGCCACCACGTGCAGTCTCCTCAACGTTAATTTTTTTCTCTTCATCCAAATCTGATCGATCAACAAACAACTGAGGTATCGGCACTTCTCATCCAAGTTTTCACTTATAATTACTCACCGATCCATCACTTGTAGTAGCAGGGTGAAATATTCAAGGCCGAGCAATCGCAAGAGTTCCCGCTCTCCTTGCCAAGATTTCCAGACATCGGCCCAACATTGCAACAACATTGTCTACTTTCTCGGACTGCTTCAGTATCAAGGTAAACAAGGTAGGAATCCGCTTAGTCTTGAGCATTGATGGTAATTTGTGTACGGATGGGTCTTCGTCAATCGTGGAGGTTCTGACAACCAAGGTGCGTTTGTAGTATGTACTGAACTCGATTGACTATGAACATGTGCTCACATATCCTGAAGTTCCATCCTCGTGAGTCGTCGCAAAAGCTTGCTTGAATTATTGGTCAGTAGTTAGCTGATAGTATTTATCGACAAAGGTTGCATCATGCTTGATCCATAGGGGTTGGACCCTTCGCGATCACTTTCACCACACCCATCTCTTTCATAAATCTCTTTCTTATGTCGCTGTTAGTAGATCCAAACGATCCAACTCCTCTTTGTTAAGGACGCCTTTTTATGGATCTTTTTTCCTTGTCTTCGTTCCCCTACTTTCCTTCTGTTGTATACTACTGCAGTCCTCCCAATGATCCACCGCAATGTTCGTAACTCAGCCAATTACCGACGTCTTAGACTTGCGCCATACAAAATCAACACGAATGGAACTAGGCTGAGCGTGGGCACCGCTAGAATGTCACGGTCCCAAGCCACTCTAGCGGACGAGGACAAGGCCTCCGACGTTGTTATGCCAGAGGGTGCGTAAAATTTGAATGGTGATGTTGCATCGCTGCCACGACGCATTGTCCAGCCTTCCAGTATGAGGAACTCCGCGCCGCTCATGCTTTGGACGACGTGAGGACCCTAAGTCCTGACACCCCAACGTTCCCGTCGCCTTTCGCACAGGCCTTACAGGCCGAGAACCACAGTCTCGCACAGGCATTTCAGGGCCAGAACCACAGTCCCCCGGCTTCTGTGTTTGTTGCATTGCAGCAGCATCAGTATCACACGGAGGTGAGAACGTTTTCCGCAGCCCTTCTCGTGAAACTTTGTTCATTAACTATCTAGGATCTCCCCATGGTGCTCAGCTCCAGGAATACAAGCCCGAGTCCCATGTCCGAATTTGATATAGAAGGCGATAGTTCCGTAGGTCCTTTCGCTCCTTTTCTTTGGTTTTTTGTCTCATGGCTTGTTTCCCTGAACAGGAGAGCGCGGAGATGATGGCTTCTCTTACGGAGCGGGTTCAAGAGCTATCAGACTCTTTACAAGGGCTGTTAGAGTCTTTAGCACGCAAAGAGGATGAACAGCCCACCAGGGTGATGGAAATCAAGGTAGACGGTTCTACCTTGTGTTCCATTGCTTTCAAGTAGAATTGTTATGTGTTATGAAATGACAACTTGTTTCGCATCTTCCACCATGATAAGGAAGGTCTCTGCCGTAGGATCTTTTCGTCCTCAAAAGTCAGGCATCGAGAAGCTATGGGCGAGACGGTGCACCAGGCGTCCAGCGTTAGAAATTTCGATGAGTCGATGAGTTCACCAAGTTCGGGAGGGTCTAAACAACTTGCGAGGTTGACAAAGCGCAGATCGAAGTAACGATACCAAGGCTGTGAAAGACGGGCATTGTCAGCAATGAAACGATAGGGGGACAGATATCACTGACAAATTGTTTGTCTTCAGCCTTTCTGAAGATTTGAGCAAGAATGCCCTGAAATTGGCGAAGAAGCGTCATTGATCGTCCCAGGATGAGAGCTGCATTAGCAGGTACGCTTGCAAATTTGGCAGCAGGCTTTCTTTCACAGGAATGGGCACCTTCTCGAGTAGATTTGGGAGCTCCAGTTTCTCCTCTTGTCCTCAACCTAACGCGAACATGTCCATGAAGCCACACAAGATATCTCGAGAAAGAATCCTTACAGAATGAGTATGTCAGCACGCTTGTGGTTTAGAGCACCATCCTCCGCTTGATAATCGACGAAATGCGAATGTAGCTATGAACAATTGTTGGATTCGGAAGAGAAGGACAAAGGCAAGGTTCACGCACAGATAAATGTAGCCAAGCCATTGAACGGCTTCATCACAAATGCGGACAGTGCTTGATGCTGGTTCAGCAGGCTGAGGTAGTATTGGATTTTCGAGTGGTTTGTGATGACGATACTCTCTCCAAAGGTGTCATGTTGCGGACGACAGGCGCGACCAAGCATCTGTAGGACGTCTTGGGACGAGAGCTCCAGCGATCCTTCTGTTGTAGATCTGCGTTCCCTGAATGTGAACGGTAGATTGACGCCCCAATCCATGGACGCAGCTGAAGAGACTAATCACAATGCAAAGGTAGGCTTTACTCCGGACTATCCGTGTGTCCACTACACACCCAGAGTCTTGGTTCTTGAGGTAACTTTGGTTCATTGAGGTAATCTATGATGCTGTAGATTGACCGCACCCTTGAAAAAAAGTGGAACTTTGCCTCCGAGTCGTGGTGGATATCCCCTTTGTTTTCGAAGGGACGGACTGCACGATTTGAAGCGCACGATACCGTTCATTACAGCATAACACTGCCTAACATCCTATTTACCGACTTGACCGGTCTCAAGGTAGAATGTATGTCTAGTTCGCTGTTGACCGGTCTCAAGGTAGTATCCATGTCTAGTTCGCTGTCACCTCAAATGGCGATGAGATTCGAACGGGGGAATGCAAGGGAGCGTCTTACCTCTCCGCTCCATAGAAGGTCGTACTCGTCCACCCGAATGCCTTGCGTGTATCCGCGCCAAATTAAGGTAGAAAGGCGCAGGCTGTACAGTGCTCGCCTTCTTTCCGACCTTTTGCCATGGGACGGCCTTTCGATCGAAATTGTGAGGGGAATCACTATAACCACCAGAAGCGGAAACACAGAACAAACGAGAGAGAAGGACGCACTGAATTAAAACCCGCCAATGGCTGATGCCATGTGCCATAGATCTGAAGTAGCATGAGCAGAGTATTGGTGTTTTGCGATACTGTTGATTCCTTACATAACTACCTGCAGTTCATTGGCACCCAGCGCGAACTCCATCTGCAGCGCTCGACGGGATGAAGAAATGGGACGAGTACTTGAGTCTTGGACTGCGAAAACCCAGAGAAAGGGTGAGACAATTGACGACGTGATGCAAGAGCAGCTCGCGGAGAACTCCTCCTATAGTGTGCGTGTTGAAAAGAATGGTCACGAACTTGTTAATCGGCTCCAACACCAGACGATTGGGTAACTGTCTTCTTGATGGGCTGGGCAATCCGCTGGGTACCGACTTGATCAACGTGGTGCATGTCAGCAGAGAGAGCCTACGGGGGAAGAGTGGGGAATAACGAATTTCTGCCATTCACGTTTGACGGACTCCCATTGCCATAGAGGGAAAGCGAGGAGCGCGGAGTTGCATGCCGAGGTCTGCGACGCCGCCGGCAGAACTCTGGAGGGTTGGGGCTGTTGTGGGCAGAAGCCCATTCATTAGAAGAGTACGGACGAGAATCACGATGCACTGGGTCGGGTGGCAAGGAGGCAATAGTGGGTCATTTTTTTTAAAGCAGGGGCAGCAACCTGAACAGACCCACATCAGCCATGTAAGTCCGTCAAATAAAATGCCGGACAAACGTTATGCAACTCTCGTCGCACATCTCTCACTACTCTCTCTACTTTCCGCGCTCCCTCCAGCGCTCCCTCAGGCCTCAGCTTTGACTTGCATGCGCTGAATCGTGCCCTCACAATCAACTTTCCATTTTTGGTCCCAGTAAGAAATTTACTTCGTTTTTCACCAAGACGGTGACGCCTACCGCCTCCAGTTCAATGGGTACCATGTCTCCCATTCCTACTCGTCTTTTTCCTGCTCTACCAAACCGAGAACCTGTTCGACTTGCATCTTTACCTGGTGCTCCGCACCCAGTCACATTCGGAGAAGTCTCGAGCACTTCCGTCACGCTAATTAACAGGTTCAAAGCAGCTATCACCTGTTGCGATCGATTCAGACGACTTGGCTGCATTTTCGGGGAATCCAGCAGCGCTGATCCGTCCAGACGACGAGCCTTGGGAGATTCTAGATCAAGTTTTAAATCGGCTTGTCGGTTACGGAGCAACACCAGAGGGTATTTCGACTATCATTCGACGAGGTCGACTTGGGATGGATGGGATGTACGACTGGGTAAAGGCGTGCGTTGAGGACCTTCATATCGATTCGATGAAGCGTTACTTGAGGTAAAGATTCAGCGGCTCATTGAAGCTATGGAGCTCATGTAAGTCTTTTGTTCATATTCGACGGGGAATACCTCAAGTTCTGATGTCTACATTCAACAGCGACTAAAAGTGTCCTGGAGCCAGCACAAATTGTAGAGCCATCTCGATCGCCCTTCAGATTAGCTTCCCCCGAGATATTCGAAATCGAAGATGATACACGTACTACCAGGCGCGAAATCACCAAGCCTAAGGTTCCGTGTCCTGGATACGAGCTCAAACTCCCCAACTCTCAATCGCCTTTCGCCCGTTATCCATTTCTCCTTGATACGACGAAGGACTTCCCATGGAAAGTCACTGTAAGCACTGAGAAACTCGTGCTCCAGTCTATGCGATGCACCGGCCACGGTCAATCCAGCAAGAAAGGCAAGGAGGTCAATCCGATCCCTTGTACGTCCTGCTCAGTCCTCGATAACGACAATACTGTTATGGGTGACACCGCTCCCTAGACAGCGCCCATGAAAACACACCTTGGGCATATCTTACCCCTGCCGAGATGTATGCGCTGCTCTTGAAGAAGGCTGGCCAGATCAATAACCTTAAACTTCGTTCGCTCAATAATGCAGCTACCATTGCAGTGCGAAATCGCCACCTGGACGGTTGGAAACGACTTGCTGCTGCCTTAGGACGAGAGGACATCTTAACTGCTTCCTCAACGCAGCTCTCGACCTTTTTTGTGAGTGGTATCTGTCCCCCTATCGCTTCGTTGCTGACAACGCCCGTTTCGTAAAGACATTGAAGTCGTCACGTCTCTTCCACAGACCGGGGAAACACGCGAAGTTCACGAACTTAATCTCTCCTCTGTCTACACTGCGCTCGGAATATCTAGTTCATATTAGCTGTGACCGGGGAAACCCAACTTCAATGTTCGTATCGTATTCACAACATAAACTTGAAACTATATATGCAGTACGGGCATTTGAACGCTGTAAACTGGTGCATAAACCACTAAACACATGAAAAAGCGGATGATAACTTCTGGTTGGTGGGATGCAGAGAAGCTGGGGCCAAATGTCAGTTTGTAGGCTTGTAAAAGAGTCGGAATGAAATACAAACTTCTAGTAAAGATCAGTACCAGATCTCGGATGGTAACTCATTCTTGACCTCTGCAGTGACAGGTGCGAACTGTGAATCGACAAGGAATCTGTGATGGCCCAACATATGTATCGGCCATATGACACAACAGGGGTTTGGCGTACCGCTGAAGAGCAACCTTGGCTCGATTTCTGTCTGCAAGCCCAGCAAGCCCAACGAAAGGCAAATTCTTCCCGTATTTCATGACGAGAAGAGATCCATGCCATTCATGATCGAAATCGATATCTTGCAAAGCCCGGTTGCGTGGAAGACCTTCACCAGTTTGAGTCACAACAAGGTACTTGTGTCTAACTCCCATGTTGTCGGCAACTGCGACAGTGCATTGATGGAGGGGGGCGTCTCTTCCCAGGACCACCTCGAAGCAGGGAAAGCGGTTCTTGCCGTCCTCGGAAACTAATGTAGGAACATATACCGTCGCTGCAGCGGTCTTTGATGAATCGAAGAGAACTGAAGAGATGGCGCGCGTCGTGATCTGGAGAAGACTTCGCATGAATCAAAGGACAATAGATCAGAAACTATGAGAACTTACAGCGTGGGTAACGCGAAAGGTATCTTTGGGTGCCGTACGGTGGACTGGCATGGCTAAGAAGTGCGTCGAGTGGCGGAGGAAGTGGATAGAGATGAAGAAAGAAGATTTACCGTTGAGGAGGCTGCACGTGATGGCGTATGCGACAAAGAGGTGTGTGGGCACCTAAAGGGATTCAGTTTTGCAAAGACGTTTGTGCCATCCCTGGCCAAGCTTAATCAGGAGGATTGTCAAGAGGTGAATGTTCGACGACGGCCGATAGTCATGCTCATTGAAGCTAGCTAAAACTAACCATCTGGTTAGCAGTCACCAGTCAATCGTCAGTGATTAGCAAAATGACAAAGCCTGGACAAGACCTCGTGTTAGTTCTCGTGGTATTGTTTCACGACATCTCAGGCACCGGCAGGTTGGATCTGATTGAGTGACGACGCAAGGGTAATTGGTTAGATGTTGAGGTATAATATAAAGTGACCCTAATAGCGATAAGTTCATCTGAAGACCTAGAAGTTAGACGGCATCGTATATCATGTAGCAGGCAGGTAATCACCAGTCAGGAATGACGCTGCAAAAAAAATGCAATAGACCCGAGAGAGTTCAATGGAATGGGCTTCATATTTCATGAGACGATCGGAGGAACAGCCCCGCCACGCGGAGCGCCTGTAAAGTTCGTTTTTGGAGTTGGAAGAGAGGTGAAGGGAGGTATGTATAATTTGGTTGTGTTTATTTCCAAAGCTATTCCGAATATTAATGACGATCATGATCATTCTTCCACTCATGCACAACGACGACCAGGACGAAGAACAAGGCCGCCAGAGACCAAGGCCACTATCAAGGTGAAGGCCGTAGTCACTACTACTATGGCCTGGATTGTGCGACAGAGGGGTTGGATGAGGCGGAATGGTGCGTAACTACTGTAAACGCCAATCTCAATTTCTAAATTGCTGTATCAGATTGGTCCAACGCTGTCAGTAGTGGTCTTATCGGGCGCCATGATCTAAAAATGTGCCGACAGCCGTCCGATCACGTCAACGCTGGATATGTTCAAGGTTTCGCACTCGAGCTCGACGCAAACATCTACAGTGGATCCACTGCCCTCCCGATTGGTCCCACGACGAAGTCGCATCACCTCTTGGACTGTGCGTCCTTCTTCCATTCAGTATGATACCGAAAGT